TGACAAAAAGTCGAGAGGGGGAACAGAAGAGTGATTCACAGATATGATAGAGACAGACAGACAGACAGACACAAAGGCATAAAAAAGGTAATATGAGTACTGTGAAGGGGTCGAATATGACAAATAGTCGGGCCATAGTAGTTTGAAGTCAGAAGTCAACTGCCGAGTGATTGACTTTTTTGCCATATAAGTATACGTTGCCCAGGGAGCACCACGTGGAGATAAGTCTATTGCGCACCCCACTTCTAAGTAGTAACTATTCGTAAATAAATAAATATATATGTTTTTACCTTGTTCCAGTTAACTGTTTCTCCAGGAATGAGGGGCTTAGATTTTCCCTATTCAAATTGTTCGAGAATCGTGTCAAAACCATTTGGAAAATCAGGACCCCTAATATTTTCCTCGGACCCATAGTCCGTAAGTAGAAATTCGATGAAATTTGCATTTTATTGATTTTCGTTTTCAGACTCTATACCACCTCTATGCTAAGGACAAATTGATCGATGAACTGTGTAGTACACATGCTGTTTATGTTTTCCTGTGAACCTTTATCAATATAACTTTCCATTTTCCAAATAGATTACTTAAATATTATTATCATTATTATATCAAATGGCAGGCGTTTTGATGGTTATCATTAGCCCTTTAGTTGACTTCAGGCTTCACAGAGGGGAGGAACATCAAAGTGAAAACAGAACAGAACAGAAGAGTGTTTCAAAGACGAAGGTAGATACGGTTAAAAAAGGTGAGGTGTGTATTGTGGAAGTAGTCGAATATGACATACAGTGGGGTCATAGCAGCTTGAAGTCAGAAGTCGACTGCTAGGTAATGGACTTTTTTCCGTATGGGTATACGTTGCCCATGGTGCACCACGTGGAGGTAAGTCTATCACACACCCCCTGATTACTTAAATATATTTATTTATTTATATCAAATGGCAGGTGTTTTGATGGTTATCATTAGCCCTTTAGTTGACTTCAGGCTTCACAGAGGGGAAGGAACATCAAAGTGGAAAAAAACCGAGAGGGGGGGGGGGAACAGAAGAGAGTTTCTAAGATGTAAGAGACAAACATAAAGGTAGAAAAAAAGGTGAGATGAGTACTGTGAAATAGTCGAATATGGCATAGAATGAGGTGATGGTAGTTTGAAGTGAGAAGTGAACTGCCAGTTAATAGACTTTTTTTGCCGTATGGTTATACGTTGCCCAGGATGCACCACGTGGAGGTGAGTCTATCGCACACCCCTTACTTAAATATAACAATCAATGACGTTACATGCTTTAAAAAATTGCGTATTTCAGAATCCGAGCGCGTTTATAATGTCGACTTTGTCTCGAAATGTCAATTCAAATCTTTTGGTACAAGTTAAATATGCAGAAATGTATTGGGCTAGTAATTAAAAGCAACAATATTTAAATTTGCTTTTAGAATTGCAAACATTTGTGACATTGATTTTTCTGTTAGTTGCAGGAGATATTATACATTGAAAATTGTATCACTTTAAGTTGTGCTTTTGATTTTAAATTAGGTTTTCACTAGAAGAAAAGTGAGCGAAATCAATATAAATTGTATAGCAAACGATATTGCTTTTAATTTGAATTTTGATTTGTTCATTCAATTTTTACCTGTTATAATACTCTGTCCTGTAAATCAAGATCCAATCATGCTAGAACTGAGTAGCTTTAGTTCTACATTATAAATAATTCATCTTATTTAAGCTGGTTTTTTTATGGAATTGATGGATTGTTGATGAGAATCAATTTCAGAACTCTTTTAGTGAGACATTTTCAATCTCATTTATTGTGTGATTCAAAAATTTTACTAAAAACGCGGAGGATGATTCGCTGGATTGCATGTTCGAATATCACTGAGAAGGAATTTTTATGCCAGGGACTCTGCGTCTATTGGGAACAGGCGGTAAGTCAATTTTATTATTATTATTATTATTTCAAATGGCAGACTTTGTGATATTTATCATTAGCCCTTAAACTTACACTTCAGCTTCCCCCAAGGGTGGGGGATACTTTTATAGCAGTTAATTAATAGTAATTAATTAGCCGTCTTCTTGCTTCTCAGTATCTCTGGCTTTCCGTCGTTGTCTTTAGGGTTGAACATCGAATCAGGTGGACTGTCCTTGTCTTTAGAGCTGGACACCGAATCAGGTGGGTCTGCCGTTGTCTTTAGAGCTGGACACCGAATCAGGTGGGTCATCACCATTTCCTCCGCTAGACACCGAATCAGGTGGGTCTTCTCCATTTCCTCCTTTGAACACCGAATCAGGTGGGTCTTCTCCATTTTCTCCTGTAGAGAATCAGATGGGTCTTCTCCATTTCCTCCTGTAGGTTTCACATCAGGTGGGTCTTCTCCATTTCCTCCTGTAGGTTACAGATCAGATGGGTCTTCTCCATTTCCTCATGTAGGTTACATATGGTGGGTCTTCTCCGTTTCCTCCTGTAGGTCACATAGACAGGTGGGACTTCTCCATTTCCTCCTGTAGGTTACATAGAGTATGTGGGTTGAGTGTATACTCTCAATCTGTGAAGGTGTTTTGATGGTTGAGTGTATACTCCCAATCTTTGAAGGTGTTTTGCCAGGCAATCCGTCCGGTACGTAGTCTAAACTCAGCAACGGCTTCGATTCTTGGCCAAAGTTAAACTCAGCAACGGCTTCGATTCTTGGCCAGTCGGCAACGGCTTCGATTCCTGGCCAGTCGGTTATATCGGAGAGTGCCAACTGTTCTCCTTTGTTCGAGCTTTAAGTTCGTTGCACCTTGACTCTCCTTTGTTCCCCAGTCGGCTATGTCGGAGAGTGCCACTGTTTCTCCTTTGTTCGAGCTTTAATTTCGTTGCACATTGAGGTCGGTCTCTCCTATTTAAGTTCGTTGCACCTTGAGGTATCCTTTGTTTTCTCCTGTGTTCGAGCTTTAATTTCGTTGCACCTTGAGGTATGTTTTCTCCTTTGTTCCAGCTTTAAGTTCGTTGCACCTTGAGGTATGGAATTCTCTTCTGTTTAAGGCCTTCATTGTGTGGAAAGACATCCGTCGGTCCATCCATTGCAAAATCGCTGTCTCCTTCTTAGCAAGTGTGTCAACAAGGCCTTTGCCTTTAATGCCACAGTGACCAGGAATTCATTGTAGGACCACTGTTTTGTTTTTCTCTCTCAGCAGCTGATAGTGTTTTCTACATTCCTTTATCTCAGCTGTTTTGGGTGGGTCTCTGTTTCCAATTGAGTTTATTGGTGACTGTGAGTCCGAAAGTATCACCGCTTTGGTGAATTTCGTATCCATGCAACATAATTGGTATAGTGCTATCCTAATGGCCTCTATTTCTCCTTCAAAAGCGGATCTATTGTGTCCCGCTGCTGCGTAGAAAGAGAAGAGATCAGAAAAGACACCTGCACCAATTTTTGCTTGGTTTTCTCTGTATGACCCATCAGAGAAGACTTGGAGCCATTAATCACCAGGATAGTTGACATTGATTATCTCAAGGGCCAGTGAGCACATTTGTTCTGGAGGGGTGTTTGATTTCCTGAAGAAGTCAAGCAGTTGGGTGCAACACACTACATCAGTGTCTGCCAATGTGTTCATGGGGAGAGAGAGGCTTTTTGGTTTGTCATCGATTTGTAATTCTTTCTTCAGTTCTATGGCTTTCTGTATTAGACCAGATTGTGTTTTCAGATGTCTTGGTCTATTCTCGTAGGTGCTGAAGAACTTATCCATGGGAATGCGCAGTAGCTTCTCATAGAGGATCAAGCCCTTTTCTTTGATAAGGGAACATATTGTGGTGCTTCCTGTAACTAGGAGCATTGCATCAATGGGTGTTGATTTTATCCCTCCAGTAATTAGTCGTAATGCTTGGTTGTGTGCCTTCTCGAGTGGTTTGAGAGTCACCTTTGTGATTGTAATGAGTGGCTTACAGTAATACAACATTATTGGCTGAATAAACATCTTGTAAGTGGTGTTGAGATTTGAGCGTGCACGTGTCACCTGATATGATGGAATGTGAAAATTGGGTCCATTTTGTATGGTGCAATATTACAGTTATTGAAATTTAAGACAATCTGCTATTTTTGAACTTAATGAGGCATTACTCATATTTTTAAAGGTACTATATTATCCTAAATAAGGAATCGGTAACACTTTATATTCATTAATAAATTTCATTATTCATATAGATTAAATTAACTGAGAATCAATCAATTTTAAATGGAAATACTGCAGAAATGAGCTAATTTAAATATAAATGCTTATTATATTTGCTTTAAGGCTGAATTGATAATGACGCATCACAACCCAAAACCTCTTATTTCATTATTTCTTTTCTTGAAATTATACCCTTTCATAACTAATAAAGAGGTTAGAATCCTTGATTTTACTTTATGCATTTTGAAATATTGCGACACTTTGGTTCATTTCTAAGGTTCCTCACGAATCACTATTTTATTTAACACTAACATATCAATTGATGGAATTATGTGAATAAGCTAAGAAAATGTAATATTTATTTAAAATTGGTGATAAAAAAGCCATCTTCAAGCAAGCAAATGGTTTAAAAGGTCAAAATATGTTAATTTTCAGAATACAGACAACTAACAACAATGAGTAATGGTGAGTCTAAATGAGAAATGAAAAAAATGAGCATTTGAAAACTAATTTTAATTCACTGAGTTAATTTTATTCAAAATGTTAAATCAATTTGATTTAGACAATTTAATGCTTTATTGGACTATATATATATATCAAACAATTTCGAACTCAAAGTCATTATGGCATTCACAATTTCATTTATCCTTAAATATGTGAGAAATTTTAATTTTAATTTTTTATTTTAATTATAAAGTTTTAATTGACTTTTTAATTCACGTTAAATTTAAATTATTTCAGGCTGCTTAAGAGAAAAGTACTTACTCTCGATGCATTTCCTGACCGTTTTTATTCGAGGACCACAGCAAACGACCTGGCTCCAAGCTTACATCATCGATCCTATTCTCTAAAGTTCCGAGAAAGCAAAAGATGGTGTGGGATATTTGGAAGCTTCTTCATTCGGCATAGCACAAACAAACCAGTTAAGTTTTAAGAGTGAGCCGGGAGGCCCAAGATTACTTCAACATTTATTTTGGACGTAAGGTTAGATTCATGTTGTCATTTATTCGGTTAGTGGAACGAGGCCATCCTTCTGCGCTTTGCTTTATGCTTCAATTTGCTGCACTCTTTCATTATGCTAAAGCAAAAAAATAAAAAGGCTAAAAGTTATAAAATTAACTTGTAAACCAATGTCTTTCAAAGCTTGCTCTTTCCAGCATCGATCTTTGGATGAAAACTGAAAGTGCGTAATTGAAAAGTTTGAGCCCACTGTTGAAATCGATGATCGAATGTAGAAGATGTAACGAACTCACCGTTTGTTTTACTGTTGGCTTCGCCGAAATCCCCTAGTCAGGATGTAGTTTAAACGTTTTTTGCTATCTGCAGGGTTATAACAGCTTACATTGTATCAACTACTGCGTAATTAGACTGCTCGTATAGGAATCTTTAGAAAAGTTTAGGGTGACATCAAGAAAAAGTATTTTAATTTTCCATATTGAAATGTGGTTGCCAATCATATGCATTACTAGAACATCATTTCTTCCACAAACTCACCCCCCCCCCCCCCCCCCCACCAATAAATGCTATTTTTGAAGGAGGTTGTAAAGAAGAGTGAAGAAAATATATCCATCATTCGCTTTATCCTTTCTTAATCATTGATGATCCGTTCACCTTTGGTTATTCTTTACTCCAGCCCGCGTATTTTTTTCCTACTAAACTTAGTTTGTTCGTCTAGTTAAAATGATTGGTTGAACATTCAGAATTCCTCTCAATGATCAATTTGATTCTCATCATATTTCTCTACTTGTAACCTAATTTAGTCTCCGTCATTGAACAATACATTTGCTTATCTTGAGTTGACTGAAAATGTTGAAATGTGGTTCCACAATCGGTGGCCCACTCTAA